GTTTCCTTCCATTTTTATCTCAAGCTTTTTCTGAGCTCTTAGGCTTATTAAAAGAAATCTTTGTCTTATGTAGAATGCAAAACATGACCATTATTGATATTGGGAAAACATAGTAATAACTATATAAAATATAGTGATTTGATATTCTTAAACTCAATAACAGCTTATCAGAAAAATATATAAAATATATAAACTGATATCTTTCATTATGAATTCTTTAGTTTACAAAATAGTTTCTAAAGGTACACATTAAGATTTATTCATGAAGTCTCTTCCTGTAAATAAATAATTCAGCAAATATTTTGATGCAATACTTTTTAATTAAATGAATATAATGTTGAACAGATTAATTGAGAAATGGAAAGTACTTGAAAGGGATCAAAGAGTTTCAAAATTCTCTGCTTTCAGTTTCTAATCTAAGTACCCAAAAGGCTGTAAAAAAAATCCTCTGGGATTCTAACTGACTAACAAGGAGAAGAAGTAAGTTCCAGTACACTTTAAATTGGCCAGAATTACTAATGAAAATGAGTTGAAATATTTATATTATCTTTGTACTTCAAGCTCATGAGTTATATAATAATAGCTTCTTAAAATTTATTCTAAAACTTGTAGTCTAAAATGCATATAGCTTGCATCAAGCAGTTGCTAAGTAAAAGAGACAGAGGAACTCAATGCCAGAGAAAAGGAAGAAAATATTTTTTAAAAAGTAGGTAATCAGCATGTTAGAATGGAATGAAAACTGGGAGGCAAATGAAAAAGGAGAAAATAATGCATTTTCTTAGTACTATGATTTTAACATTATAAAAATCTTCTATTAAAGATTTTCCTTTTAGAAATAGGTATTGGATCCACTTTGGTGGATCAAGAGGAAAAAAAGGAAATAAAACTGAAGATAACAGAATATTTAGTAGATTCTATATAGAAGGTTATTGGGGTGGTGGCAAAGACTAAGGTTAGAGGTATTTATTTTCATTTTTATATGAACTTCTGGTCCTGCATTATTTTAACTGATATCAAGTTGAATCTTTGATGCAAGAATCAAAACACAACAATTGAGGCAGATTCACAATTCTATATTTGAAATTCAGCTATAAGATCTCAGAATCCATTTGGCAGATACACACACACTTCTCCCCATTTGGATATAATAAGAAAATGTGGTGTTTGTGGGAGATTTGGGGATAGGAGTTGGGGTAGAACTGAGAAAGAGATAGAGGAGAACAGACCCAAAGAAAGAGGTTTAATAGTATTGAGAGGGTTGCTTTCAAGTGATGCATGTGTTCATAATCGTAGAGTTTGTACAGAAGAGTATTATTCTAAATAGAAACAAGTTCTAAAAAGATACTTACTAGTTAGTTAATATTACAGATAAGAGCAAGTATTATAGCTTTGTTGCTATTGTGTTTTCTGTTAGAAGTCTCTCTTTTTATAAGATCATTTGACATAAAACATTTTCATTCTAATCTTATGTTCACCAAATCATTCAAAATTGATCCTATCAGTAAATGGACTGGAATTGGATAATAAAGGAATAGCAAAAAGTGTATGCCCATGCATCATGAAAACTGAATAATCTCAGCTTTTTATAAAAACCTATGAACATAATACATATGAACTGAATTTGATTGAAGTAAAATCCTGCATGCAGTAGAATCTCAAATACGGCTTAGACCTCGGAAGCTTCTGAAATTAGAGAGGAAGAGGGAAATGGACAATTACTTGTCAAATTGAAGTTGACACTAGAATATCCTGACATCTTTGTGTTAGTGCCTGGTAGTTTTCTGCTTGATGCAGATGCTAACTGTATCTTCACCTGGGGGCATGAATCATTGCTGGTGTCTCACATCATCCCCACCATCTGTCGCGGCAAACTTGGCAGCAGGGCTAGCATCTGAAAGAGGCTGTGGGGAGACGGAGGCAGAACCACACTGGCATATTTGAAGGCTTCAGTCACACTCCACTGTTGCCACTGCTTGAAAACGGAAGGTCTAGGAGGCATCTGGCCTCAACACAGGCAGCATACCTGAACAAATTATATGTCTGACAATGATAAAGCTGCTTATGAGACTGGGGATGGGGAAGGGAGTCAAGTCAGCAGTACCAAGAACTGACAACAAATCCTTTGTTGTCCCTAAAGTAAGGACACCATTTTGCCCTTGCACCCTGAAATACCCATAATTGCAGGCTACTTCCTGAAGAAACGTGCCATCAGTAATCAAGCACAAAGGAGAGATTAAATGAACACTTCTCTAGATTACTTGCAATCACTAGTCCTATGACTAGTAAGGCACACTAGTCCTATGATTTGCAGGGCCACAGATACAATGACTCAGAAAGTAGGATGGGGCAGGAAAATAAAGGTAGCTTGGCCACATAATGTAAAATATGTTGAAGCCTTCCCCTCCCATATAAATCTCATTATTGTCAATATAGAGCTAGAAACATTTTGTTAGCTATTTATACTTTATCTGCATAAATATATTTTCTGTTAGGTGGAAAGATGAAAGAAAGAGAAACAAGTCTTTTTGTAGGTCCAGATCTACCTTAGGATATTTCCTACAGGACAAGGAAGTCCTAGCTGAGGGTTCAACAGGGCTGGCAGTACTACAATCTCTTATCTGAACAATCTAAACCATTAGAAGGGGACCTCATATTCTGAACCCTACTCTTGAAAGAAAATACTGTCCAGGACTAATCTGAAAATGAAATCAGCGTAGCCTAGCCACAGGACTGCTATCTAGAGTTGGTCTTCATTTTTTAAAAATGCTAATAACATAAGGAGTTTATAATTTACATGTCCAGCGAGCATTTACTCTCTTGGTTGGACTATCAGTCTGCACATTTGGGTATTTCATTCCTGTAGTTCCCAATTTATTAACTAGGCATAATGGGCTCACCTCTTAAATTCAGCAATATTTCAGCACTGACAAAGATGCTTATACCAAGTTCATTTAGCTAAAGTGACATAAATAGTCAAGCTATTATGGGGTGGTGTTCATCAGTGTGGACAGCTTCTGCACTCAGCTGGCTGAGACAATATAGAAGGGCTACTGTTGGCATCAGACATCAGCTTTTCCTGGCTGAAGACCAGTAACTTGTGAGCAAATAGAGAGAAAAAAATCTCTTTCCTCCACTGGAACAGTACTGCACAGAAGAATCTAGCAAAGCAGTAGAAAACTGAAATTAAAGCCTGAAGAGGCTCTATGAGCAAACATCAGCAAACCTAGCTCTGCCCAGAATGGACATTCAGCAGGAGCATGCTGAATGGTGGCTCTAACATGTCCATGGTGTCAGCTAGACTTTGCTCCCCATTATTTTTTTTTAATGGTGCTTCAGATTCAGCAGTTTTTTGCTTAAATCTAAAATCCACATCATGCCAACTGTATGAATTTTGGACAAGTTACTTAATCATTCATTGCCTCAGTTTATATACTTATTTAATGAAAATAATATCAATATTATGAGAGCTGTTGTGGGGATTAAACTGAAAAGGAAAATGCAAGTAAAATGCCTAACGTGGTGCTGAGTGGACAACAGACAATCAATAAGATGGCATTGGCATTTGGTTAAATTGTTATTAGGGTGACATGTAAACAGAACATCCATATTCATCCAAATAAGGTAACGCCACAATGCAATGCATAGACTACTGTGCCCATGTTTATTGTGCTTCTGGTTGCATTCAGTGTGCTGCCCTTCAACTTTGAAGGCATTAAGTAATAGATACTACACAGATAGAAAAGAAAAAATCCGTCAATTTTATTAGCATCATCCTCTTGTGTTTTCGGTCAGGGAATGGTGTATTGCCTGAAAAAAAATTATCAGAAAGCTTAATGCAAAACTGTATATAAAATATTTTAAATGCACCTATGCTAATTCTTCAGTATAGTTGTGTGTATGTGTAAGTTTGAACAAGAGCTCTGCATTTCCTTGTTTCTTCAGTATATTTCCATCTGTATAATAGAAGATACCACTTCATCCCTTGCAGGTGCCTCATAACCCTCTAGGTTTTAGCATGTTTTTAACAAGTTCTTTACATTTATTCCCTCAGTAGAACTCTCTCTTATTTCATTTGTTTAAATTAAAGTCCAGACACTGGTTTCTTTTCTTCATTAACAAAAATAATTAATAATTATGGTTTGGTAATAGATGTTCTCCAATAACTATCTTTACCGCATGTTAATATATTTACTGTGCAGGAAAATAAAACCTGCAAAAGAGCTAAGTCATGAAATGTAGGAAAATGAGCTATTAAAGTGAAGGTTTGTGAAGGCCTGAGACAATATGAGAGCAGAGGTCAATTTTGGATAGTAGCCCTGTCAGGATGAGCATTTTAACATCTAAAAATGCCACTAATTCCTTTCTAATGAATTTGACATTATTAAGATTACATGGTATAGTCAAGGAGATTGTCAAACTGTTTGTCCCAATATTAAGCAATAATATATTTTGAGGTCCCCAAAATGTCTTCACTAATAGAGGTTGTCACTATGTTACAAGCCCATCACTATGGCAAATGCCATGTGGCATTCAGTTCAAAATAATGGCAACAATTTATGAAAATCATTTTCAAATAAATTTTGATGCAAATTCCTTTCATGTTAGATGGAAACAGAAAATTAAAGTGCAAACAGTATGTACAACATACTACATTTTTTGCATAAAGGGTACAAAATAAAGTCTGTGCTTTAGAAACTCTGGAAAGATATGCACACAAACGCACCTACATTAAAAACAGTGGTTATGTATAGTCAGAAGGCAGACTTGGGTGAGTGAGGAGTGGGGCTGATAGCTGCAGACATTTTAAAATTTAGTTTGATTTTGAAACCATGCAAATGTATTCCCTATTTACAAAATAAAAAAATTAAATATTTTTAATAAAAACTTCTTGCATGGAAGTTCATTTTCTCTTACATTTCTTGAACCTGATTATGCTTTTCTAGAAACTGGGTATCACTGATTCTGTTCAAAGAAAGAACGATGGGTGAAATTCAATGAGGTATTTTCCATGTTTTTTTTTAATAGTTGTACATTTGATCTTATATTCATAATTTCCCCCAATGATTGTTGTATCTTTGAGATACCCACCAATCTATATTAAAAGTAATATTTGAACTGTTCTTGGATTATCTTGATGCCAAAGCTGAAGAGATTTAAGAGGACTGCTTCTCCTGAACTGTAAATTATTAAGTAAAGAAATTGCTTGTTTTAATCACTTATGAAGGTTAGGTTTTAAAGCATAATAATGACAACAGCATATCAAGAATCCTTTGTTAACTTTTCTAGCACACGCAACAAGCATATGTTGGTGAATATGACCATTAAGAAACATACCAAGTATGACTATAAAAGGAAACAGCAAAACATTTTCAGTGTTTTTGAAAAAGAATACGGTTTTACCTGTGTTTTATTATAAATAAACAGGTTCTGTCATATTTTATCTTCTTGCCAGCAAATGAAGGACATTGTTTCTTAAAGCTTCTAAAATGTACATGGATATTTAATTAAATCATATTTCCTTGAGAAAATAAAGTTCATTCGCATTTATAGCAGACAGTTGTGAGGAGCTCATAATTGTCATAAGACCAGGGTAGCCAGTACCGGTTGCTTGTGGAACAAAACTCCTCGATTTTTAAAACTTTTTTTAAAAAATAAACATACAATCATAGGTGTTCATTTACTTTAAAAATTCTAAAGATGAAGAAAATTATCGTCTATATATTTAAGTCCTTGTATAAATTACAAAACTCAAGTTTATGTTACAGAGTCCCTTCCCCATAGGAAGCATAAAGCACTTTTGTGGTACCTTTCACCAGTAAATATTTGTATCACATTGAATTTGACAAACAAAATAAAAGTCAATATTGCATCTTTAACCCCCAAGAGAACATTCTTCTAAGCTGTCTCTTGTGATGAATGAGCCTCAAAAGTCACTTGATTGCCATGATTTAACTCAATCTCAAATAAAGATATATAAAAGTAATACACATTGACTTCAGTAGAAATCTAAAACATCAGTGAACTGCAGACTCTTCTTTCTTGAGGTCAACAAACACCCTTTGGAAGACAACCAAGAGTAGTTTAAGACCAGGACAAAAAAATAAAATTATATCAATAATAATTATAATAAAAATAACAATAATAAAATAAAAATAACAACAACCAACAATGAGGTAAACTCCCCTTTAAAAAGGCAATATGTGTTGCCTGGACTGTCAGGAGAGAGTTCGATTGTACCTGACACCCAAATGTTTTTCTAACCAGAGTTCAGCCAGTTGCATGGTTGAGGCAAAAGTACTTGCCTTGGATCCTAAGCACATCTTGTACTGCTTAGGGTCCAAGTTAGGATCACAATGAACTGGATGAAAAATATGCACCACTCCTACTTCTTGACTTCTGAAGGGCCTTAAGCCGGACAGAATAACTTTATTGTAGAGATCTACATCCTCCAGTCCCCAGCCTTGTATTGAGGTATCAAATCCACCTGCACCTAGAAGATCACTTTTGTAAATACAGGTTATTCCATATCCATAGTCTCTCCAAAATCCAGTCTTCTTTGAGAATATAAAGTCATCATCACTGGGAGGATTTCCCCTATTGGTTACCTTTGGGTCATACTGGCTAAAGATGATCGGGTAATACACCTGTTGTCCCTGAATTGTATTGTCTCTACATCGTTGGAGAAAGTCTCCTTTGAAGATCAAGTCAACATCACAAAATAGCAGCAAAGTGTCATTGTCAAACTGGGAAGAAGCCATTTCAAGACCAAGACCTCTAGAAAACTCTCCCTTCATAGAAATCAGGGCCATTTCTGCTTTGGGGTATCTGTTCTGGTATTCTTTTATCAGCTCAATATGCTTGTTGGAATCTTGGCCAGAATCCCTATTAAAAAGGATGATGACCAGCTTTACATTCTGCTTTGGGATAAGACACATATTTTCAAAGTTCTCCATGAATCTCAAGAAAATGTCATATCTTCCAATGAGAGGAACAAGAATGTGTATTTTCTTTTCATCGTGCCCTCCCATTTCTTTGGCACCTTGAAAAGAAGATAATATCTTTAAGGAATTAGATATAAAGGAGAATGACTGGGTGTCACTGTTAATACTCTCCACGAGACTGTTGACATCTAGCTCTTCAGTTTCTCTGAAGAAAGGCTTGCTGAACAACTGCTGAAGATAGGCATGGCGTCTCACTGGCACAGTCAGTTTCCTTCCCTTGTGTCTTTTGTATAAGAGGAGTAAATCCAAAATGTACTCCACTCCGTGCATGGGATTAACTCTACGGTAGCCATACTGAATTTCCTTGAAGTCAATGAGCCGTCCTCTACTCTTGGCATTCTCGTTGATCATCTCCATCACCTGTAGGATGGTGTCATCCAGTGCTGACCTTAAAATGCTATTGATGCTCTGTCGAGGAGGCTGGTTCTCAGCTGCTGAGTAAAGGAGCTTCCCTGTCAGGAATTCCCATTCTATGACTTCATTTCTCTCCCGAGGTTGGAAGTGGTTGAAAGAAGGTATTACTCCCAGCTGCTGGTCCTCTTTACTCACTTCAGTGTTACTCAGCTTGCTCATCAGAGCACTCTCCCTGTGGAGCTGGATGGTGCGATAGCGGAGTTCAGAAATTTTGCGGCTGAGCATGTAATTATGCAGCCTGTACTGGTATGCAGGCCTTTTGTTGGGATGAAGGGTTATGGCTGCATGGATTTTGCTATTGTGAAGGTCTTGGATATAACCCTTCCGATTGTGTTCATAATTTTCATGGAACAGTTGTTGCATCTGAAAAGCAAAAGGAAATCAGAACTTTAGGCTATTAAAAAGATCTCTAGCAATAAACTAAAACATTTAATTTAGAATATTTAACAGATTATTTGTATAAAAGTTCACAAAATGGTTTGTAAAATTTATGTTTAAAAAATTTAAATAGTTCCAGCATTCTTAATTGACAGATAAAATTGTATGTATTCATCATGTACCACATAATATTTTGAAGTAAACATACATTGTGGAAGACTAAATCTAGCTAATTGATATATTTATTACCTCACATTGTTATGTTTGTAGTAAAAACACTTAACATATAGTTTCTCAAAATTTAATAGAATATAACATATTGTTATGAAATATATAGTCACCATCGCTTGAATTTAGAGATTCTATCTAACCGAAATTTTATATAATTTGACCATCTCCCCAATCCCTCCCCAACAAATGCCCTATCCCTTAATAAATATCATTTTAATTTCCAGTTATAAGGTCAACTTTTTTAGTTTCCACATATAAGTGAGATCATAAATGTCAAGTTAATAGGCTCAAATATAGAAAGCTAACCTCCAGTTATATATTTTGAAATGAAGAATCTTTGCCTCTCTATTTACTCTGAAGTCAACCAAAAATATCAATGAAAAAATGAATTGGATATGCTCCTAACCCCATAACAGATCATTGAAAGAGAGAGAGAGGAACAATGGGTATAGCATGGATTTTCCAAAATAGAGAATTCACTCTAAGGACTAAAACCAATGACTGGCAGTAACAGGCTATTTGTCAGAGTGGTCCTAAACTATATTTAGCATATTGCCATACCATCTTCATAGAGTAAGTTCTTGATAAGATGTAGCAGAAACTTTATTTTTCTACATTTCTGTTCTAAAGTATCATGTCAAAAATTAGGCATACTTGGCATCTTCATAAAACAGAAAGGCTTTCCGCTAGTCTAGAACAAATGTACTAACTCAGGCTGAAACCAAATTGAGAAAAATACACAGTTATAAAAACAAAATTCAAACTGCCAACTAACTCCTCTCTGCCAATCAAGAAATCTCCATCACACCCATTTAAGGTTAAGTAACAACAAGAAGAGGAAAAAAAGGCAAGGGAGAAGGAGGGGGAGAAGGAGGAAGAGGAGGAGTAGGAGGACAATGATCACCAATAGCAGCATGAGGTGTCTACAAACGTACTGTTGGATATGGAAAAAGGATAATTGCAAACTTAAAAATACAAATTGGAAGCGTGTAAAAATTATGCACAAATAAAAAAATTAACAAAAATACATCCTTTCCAAAAACAAAAACTGTCTCAAGAAATATATAAGTGCACCTAAAGAAGTAAACAAGTAAATGAGCAGAACTAAGGAAAAGGAGAAAAAAATAAAAACATCAACATTCATATTGCAAGAAGGATAAAAGGAGACACAGAGATTTATGAAGAACATAGGAAGAAGAGACTTGAGAACACTTAGCAAAGTAATAGAAATATAAAATAGAGGTCAAAGTTTGGAGAAAGGTAGGTTCTTTTAGTAAAAGAAGTGCTAGGTCAGAAGGAAAAAAAATAAAAAACTGATTCCCTACATCTCCCACATGGATGAAATGTTGGTATAAATATGGAAGTTCATTTTTAAAAGGGAAGAAAAAAAAAAACAAAAAGGAAGCAGGGTGTGGCCCATAGTCCCAGCTATTCTGGAGGTGGAGGGACAAGGATTGCTTGAGACCTGGAGTTCACATTCAGCCAGGGCAACATAGCAAGACCCCATCTACAAAAATACAATAAAATAAGATTTTAAGTTTCTCAAATTGAACAGAGGAAATATCTGCATGATTTTTGGATAGGTGAAGATTTCATAAATAGGACACAAAGTACTAACCATAAAATCAGATTGATAAATTACATTGTGTTAAAATTAAGAACTTTGTTTCTTGAAAGAAAAAAAAAATAAGAGAATTGAAAATGTCAACTGTAGACTAGATGCAATGACTCAGCCTGTAATCCCAACACTTTGGGAGGCCGAGGCAAAAGCCCAGGGGTTCAAGACCAGCCTGGGCAACTTGATGAGAGCTCGTCTCTACAATAAATCAAAAAATAAGCTGGATGTGGTAGCACATACCTGTAGTTCCAGCATCTTGAAAGACTGAGGCGGAAGGATCGCCTAAGCCCAGAAGGATGAGACTGTGGTGGCCATGAGTGTGCCACTTCAGTCCAGCCTGGGCAATAGAGTGAGACTCCAACTCGAAAGAAAGAAAGAAAGAAAGAAAGAAAGAAAGAAAGAAAGAAAGAAAGAAAGAAAGAAAGAAAGAAAGAAAGCAAGCAAGAAAGAAAGAAAGGGAAAGAAAGAAAGGGAAAGAAAGGGAAAGAAAGAAAGGGAAAGAAAGGGAAAGAAAGGGAAAAGAAAAGAGTCAAGTACAGCATGGGAGAAGAAAATTTTAATAGAGCTTATGAATAAGGACTAATGCCCAGAATATATAATGAACTTGTACAAATCAGAAAGGAAGAAGGACAAACGCGGCAGAAAAAAAATAAAGGGAAAATAAAAATTTGAGTTGTATTTCACAAAAGGGAGTATGCAAATACTTGACAAGCATATAAAAATATTCTCTACTTCACTCATCATCAGGGTAATGCCACTTAAAAATCACAATGTGATAACATTAGGGATCCACAAGCATGGCTAAAACCAGACAGATTGATAATCCATGCATTGTCTAGGTCGTGGAGGATTTGGAACTCTCATATGCTGCTGGTGACAATGTAACTTGCTTCAGCCACTAGGAAAAACTGTATCCAATAAAATGAACATACGCATTCCCTGCGACTCAGTAAGTGTCTCTTAGATTTATGCTAAGAAATGCGTACCTATATGCACCTAAAAATATATGTAAAGATTTTCACAGCTGCATTATTCATACTCCAAAACTGAAAGCCACTCAAATGTACCTCAGGGTAAAACAGCTATAGTATAATTGTGTAATAAAAAGTAATATATCAATTAAATTAAATTAAATATTACTAATATCAACATGGATAAATCTCACAAACATAGTGAAAGAAACCATATAAAACAAGAATTCATTTTTTTGTAATTCTTTTATATGAAATTCAGAAACAGATGAAACCCATCAATGCTGTTAGCAGTTAGAATAGCAATCAAGAATCAAGAAAAAGGAAGCTTCTGTAGTGCTGGTAATGTCCTTTGTTTATACAGGTGGTGGTTATATGTGTGATTTAGTTTGTGAATATTCATTAAACTTTAGATATGTTTGTTATCCTCCAATTAATAAAATATTTTATTTTGAAAGTATGCTTACACATGCATATAGCATTGGGTATGGTTTTCAGGCAGGTATGTACAAAAAATGTGTATCAATATGTGGGGAGTGGAGGGGAGAGTGGGGAGGGGGGAGGGGGGAGAGAGAGAGAGAGGGAGAGAAAGAGAGAGAGAAGGAGACCAGAGAGACTTTCCTAGAGAAGGTGACCTAAAAGGGAGATGATTAATACTATGGCTGATTCTTTACCCCCAGTATTTCATCTGGTTCCTTTTTCATACTTGGATAGGTTTTTAAATCAACATCATTTGACTTTGAAGAATATAACAGCAGTTATTTCAAGAAAGATTTTGAACTTGATTCAAGATGCAGCAGTTTGGTTTCTTCCAACTTTTTTTCCTGAAAAGCACATGCCAATTTTTATTTGAAACTTTGATCGTTAAATCAAATTAAATTCATAATTTATGGTGGGCTGTTTTATCTCCACTGGTGTAGTATTAATATTTTTAACAAAAATTGCTTTGATATATTACATTATATATTGTTCCGTGAATTTTTTTCTTTCTATGCAAGATGGTAGAATAATTCTGATCTCATAGAGACTACTAATTAGTTATATCATATCTAAAAAGCATTGGTTGTCACTATTCTTTTTTAAGGCATGATGTAAATTACTAAGAAAAGGGACTACGCTAAATTAAGTAAGATGCATTGCTCAGAGGAAAGCTATTAATCGCATACTTGTCTAGGTCCTTTAGTGATGCTGAGTGATTAATCCTGTACCATTTGATAAAGATGACATTGTGTAGCAGAACAAATAATATTTTAGTACTGAAATGTCAAACTAACAATTTCAGCCTTACATGGTGTTTATCTTTCAAACATATCCCTTTGCAGATATACCACAAGCAGAGGAAGGACAGTGGTGGGGATAATTCCTAAAAGTAAAACATTCATACACACTCCACATAGTATAGTAATGATGACAGTATCTTGAATTTATTTCACATTTGCCATTAGTAATCATAGAGTATTTCCAAATTTTCTACTTTCATATATGGGAAGGGCCCATCTATACAGGATAGACCGAGGAATGTTTAGGAGCTTGGCTATGAGATCAGGCTATGGATTTGAATACTAGTTTCACCATTTCTAAGCCTTTTCGTTGCCAACAGGCTTAAATCTCAGCCTCCTTATCTATAAAATTAGAAAAATGTCATATACATTAATGTATATTGCAGTGTTATTAAATCAGAAAAAATGTATATAAAGTGCTTAGCATTGTGTCTGTCACATAGAAAACAGTAAATGATAGCTGTGTGTAAACAGTTCAAGAGTATGCCAACCTCCTTCTGATATTTTTTCTTTTTAGCTAGGAATCTTCAGAGAATGAGCAGTGCACCCTTTAGTTAACATGCTTATTTCTGGAAATGCTTGGAAACAATTACAAATTTGGCCACATACTCTCAGTACTTCAATGTATCTAACTTGCCTTTAAGGTACCTTACTGCAAGAAGGACAAATTGCTGTGGAGATTTCAGAAAACCAAAGCTCACAGAGGTTAAGTTATTTAACCAAAAGTCTACTGAGAGCAATGAAATCATGATTAAAATTAGAATTCTCATGACTGTCAGTTTTGCTACTTACCATGATACATTCTGAATGTAGCAAAATCATTCCAAGCAAAAAAGTGTAAAATTTATTTTTACAGTTATATTAACTTCGTTGAAATAATTGAGAACCTCT